CTATAGCACTGTAGCATGACTAATTAATGACAATTTATTGTATACTATCAATTAGCTAGCAGAGAGGATTTTGAATGTTCCCAACACAAAGAAATAATAAATGGTTGAGGTAATGGGAAAAAAAGTCAGAGGTAGCCAGGGTTTCAGGAGGGAGGGAGGGAGAAAGGGATAAGCATGTGGAGCATCGGGGATTTTTTAGGGCAGTGAAACTATTCTGTATGACACCGCAACAGTAAATATATGACATTATGCATTTGGAAAAACCCATAGATCTCTACAGCACAAAGAGGAAACCTTAATGGAAAACTGAATTAGTAATAATAGGTAAATATTGGTTTATAAAGGTAACAAATGTACCATACTAATGTAAAATGTTAATAAAAGGACAAATTTTGTTGGGTGGGTGGGGGAGTATGAGAACCACCTGCACTTTCTGCTCAATTTTTCTGAAAACCTAAAAGTGCTACAAAAATAGTCTTACAAAAAAAAAAAAATTATTTGAGATTTCAGCTGCCTCCAACCACCAATGAAAATGGAGTTGACATTTTGTTTTTTATTTTCCTTGTGGCTTTTGGATAATTTGCAAGAAAAGAAGGGGCAATGTTGCCTTTACACTGCCATCTGCCTATTGGAATTTACTCCTGCCTTTTATTTGTTTATTTATTTGTTTTGGGGGGCTGACTGGCACAGGAATCAAACCCTGGACCTTGGTGTTAACAGCCTCATGCTCTAACCAACTGAGCTAACTGGCCAGCCCATTCCTTCCTTCTTAAAACACTTTGTTCACGTGGCTCCAGGGACGTCACTCTCTCCTGGTTCTCCCCATACCACACTGGATGGTCCTTCTCAGTCTCCCTTGCTAGAGTCCTGTGTCTTCCTGACTTCCAAACGTAGTGTTTAAAGTTGTCGCCGTTGGCCTATTCTCTTACTTATTATTTCACTCAGTGAAACTGAAAGTCTTCACCAGGCCTATAAAGCTTTTCCTCCAGCTAATTCCCTGACATCACCTGCTTCTTTCTCCTCACTTGACTCCCTCATGTCCCTCTAACTTCCTTGCTGTTCTCTAACTACACCAAACACACTCCTGTTTCAAGGCCTGGCACCTGCTGTGCCCTGGTCTGGGAATCTCTCAGATAACCCATGGCTCACTCCATCCCTTCATTCAAAACTCCATTCTACTGTTCAAATGTTTACCTACTCAAAGAGGTCTCCCTTAACCTCTTTTCCTAAAACAGCATTCCTTGTCAGCCTCTGACTTNAGTCACTTCTAAAAGTCTAGAGCCTCTAAAAGAGATTTCTAAAATACATTTCAAAGATACCGATCCCTGAACTGGCCACCTGGGATCTGATTTCTCCAGCTACTTTCTCTCCGACCTCGACTTACCTGAGCGTCCCTGATTTGGCAGTTTTCTTTTCAACATCCATGGTTCTTCTCCTTGCTCTAACTTGAATATCAGCTCAGGTTTGGTAACACAGTGCCCTGTAATGGGAAAGGACATGAGACTTGGTAAAGTTGCTCAGTGTTCAGGTCCTTTGAAGGACAAGAAGGAAGAAGCTTTAGAAACTACGTAATGATGGTGCTTAACTGTGCTTCATCAGAGCAGACCCTTTTATCAGGGAAGTGAGAATACAGTATTTTTTCAAGTGCCTTAAGAGTCTTGAACAAAATTTCCAGCAGAAAACTCATTACTCTCTACAATGATTTGGTTCCTAAGATAGAAAAATGTGTGCTGTTGGGAATTGCATGGGAAGCTGGGCTTACCCAGTGACACCAGGTGCCTGTAGTTCTCCAGCATCACATTCCTGTACAGGAGCCTCTGAACAGGGTCCAGTAGCTGCCACTCCTCCTGGGTGAAGTGCACAGATACATCCTCAAACAACATTGATCCCTGTAATAGTCCAATCCACTCAATCTGAAGTGCTCAAGACCAGGGGAATACACAGGAAACTAATTCCTGCTGTGTTCACTGTTAAGTTTTCCAGAAAATGTTACAAAGTTGTCTAAATGTACCTTTCTTTATGTTATATTTTGTGGGAGAAACAGAAATCATAATGGGAATCCTAGGCCTCTGTATTTATTTATAAATTCATTTATTAATTCATCAAACAATTTAAGTTTCCTCTACATACCTGGAACTGTTCTAGTTGCAGAAGGCACTAAGGCAAATAAGACATTGATCATGTTTTTAAAGATCTTACAGACTGACAAGGAGGCTTTCTACATAGACATACACATACAATAATGAATTATGGGAGCCATGAAAAAATATGTGGTCAAGGCAGATGAGGTCATGAAGGAGGAGAAAAGTTAATTCTCCTTTTTTCAGGTCGTACTTCATCAAGAAGATAAAGATTTGATTGTACATGAACAGGGAGTTTGTGTGAACATGGGACACCAGCATAATCAGAGTCACAGACAACATTAAAACCACCCCATGTGAAAGGAATTGCAAGTAGCACGGGGTGAGAGAAGAATAAAGTTGGGGCTTGAATGAGATAAAGAACAATGAGGTATTCAGTGGTCAGACTGAGGAATTCTGGACTTTCTCCAAAAGACCAGTGGCCTTCAAAATATTCAGTCACCCATCGACAAACATTCCTGAACATCTCTCAATGTGTTTATAAATTATGTATGTAGACAACTCTCAAGCCATACATCAAAAGTCAAGCTTAACAACTTTCTAAAGTTCTTTTAGATACAAAGCAAATGTAAATGAATATTCTAATACTTTCTTTCCATGTACCACTTGATTATTTTGTGCAGTTCCCTGGGGTGCACACCCCCACCTTTGAGATCATTTCCGTGGACAATGGAGACATATAAATAAGTAGTATGACTAGATTTATAATTTGAAAGTAATGCTCCAGAAGCAGGGTGGCGAAGGTTGCAGTGGTTCTCAGCCAGAGGTGATTTTATCATCATGGAGGCATCTGGCA